CATTTGAGTATATTTGATCTTACGGTTTTTGTTATGTTTGTATCTTTGCACACCGTTTTTGGTTATATGCGTACATCGCTTTCTAAAACCTAATTATTTCTAATGTAGGGTTGATTCTTCTCTCCATCGCTTTCTAAAACCTAATTATTTCTAATGTAGGGTTGATTCTTCTCTCCACTGTTTCACATATATCTTGCATATAATTCTCAATACTTGATGGTCTTTGTTGCTTCCTAGAATCTTTGTATGTTCATTTCTTTATTTTTATTGCCTTTTCTCTTTTATGCTACGCCTAAGAAGGTCTTTAGTGTGGTTCATTACACCTGAATTAATTAATTTCCTTGCGTACTTCCCTTGTGGGTGGAATACAGAAGTGAGTTTTGGCAACAACTACAATTTAAAGTTGGCTGCCACTTCTTTAGTGTGGTTTCTATTTTTAATTAATCTTGTTCCTTCTGTTCATATCACCCATTTTCGTTAAAGTTTAATAAATTTTACATTGTTTAACTTGATTAGTTGACTAGAATTCACATCAGGAACATTTGTTTTGAATTGGGGTGCCCGCCTCCGCGCGCCGAGGGGGGGGGGGTGTTGAAGGGAGATGTGTTTAAGCTCTTCGGATGAGTTGCAGAGTATTTCCTATTGTTGTTATGCAAGTTCCTCAAGAGGCTTTTGGGTTTAATGACCACAACATTTGATAAACTAGGACGAGAATGAAATGCATAAACGATTGTCGTTAAGGTGTATTAAAAATTAAATTAGTTCCATACCTGGCAAATACTAACGTAAAGCATAAAGAAGTGGACATTTCTTGTTACTTATCGAAGGCTTGTTTCATGTGCTCCAAAAACGGTCATTTTGGTGGCCTTGGTGATGAATTTGAAAAAAATACCACATCAGTATTAGTGTTGTCATCTCGCTGTCCTTTTTGTGACCATCAATTCTGAACTCAACATTCAGGTTTGGCACTTTGCCACCTTTCAACCTTGAACACCATGATGAAAATTTGGTTCTCAGGATGGGGTGCGACATCCCAATTTACCTTCAATCTCTGGGGCTTAGCATTGTAAACTGTTAACTCATGACACAAATGGTAATGGTGTGTGGAAACTCATCGTCGCCTACTTTTCTATGATGTCATAATAGCTGGCGTATTGGCTGTTTTTTAATTAGAAGTTGGTACCATTTTGTGTTGGTTTCTCTCTATGTTTAGAATGTATGGGTAATCCCTCGTTTTTATAAATGTATGTTTAGTGTGTCTCTCCATCTGTCTCTCGAGTTTTCTATATTTTTCTGACGTATGAACGTCCCATATTATATGATTTTCGTGCAGAACCGTCATGAAAGATGATGGGTCAGGGATGGTGTGGAATGAAGCGGTGAAAAGGATATTGCAGAAGCACAATACCAGGATTCAATCTCACCACTCAAAAGTTCAAAGGAAGATGGGCGGGCGATGGAATGCTCTGATATATAATCCCAGAGACCAAAACTATTGGCACTATCAAACTCTATGATCATGAGAGTTTGAACACAAGATTTCGAGTGGAAACCACCGTCGAAAACTTTCCATGTTCAAACGGTCGAAAGGAATCTAGTGTTGGACTGCTAGCACTTAAAAAAGAGATAGCATCACTTTATGCTCATTCTACATGATCACATGATTGTAGTTAATAACTATGAATCATAAGTTAATCGTGCCACTAAATTGTTTTACTCTCTTAACGGCTGGGTTGGTAGATTTTGCTGAACTGCAGTTAGGTTCTGTTTTTATTTCCAAACACTTATACCAATTGCGGTTTTGTTATCGTATTTCCTATAAATGTGTTTGTTGTAATGTTAAAGTTTTCTTAATAAAGTTTTGATGAAAAATTCTGTAAAGAACCAACTATTTATTATATGCATATTCAGCTGAGAAAACAACACAAAAAGAAGGCCAGGCCAGGCAGCATGTGCATATTCATGGCCAGATCATCACACCAACGGTCCAACATAAACCCTAAGTTAAACGTCTGATGGCTGAAACAGACAGTGCAACCGCAAGTGTCAAATTAGAGAAACATATCAAATGAGACTATGCATATTCATGACCAGATCATCACACCAACGGTCCAACATAAACCCTAAGTTAAACATCCGATGGCTGAACTAGGCAGTGCAACCGCAAGTGTCAAATTAGAGAAACAGATCAAACGAGACTCTTGAAGACAACGCAGCTACCTAGGTACAACATTTGTGTGAATATTAACTGTCATAGTGCAACTTCACCAGTTTAAAGTCGGCTGGACAATTATTATTCACAATATATTTTTTTAAATTCACAATTAAATGAGATACAATTATTTAGTCTAGAAATATACTATTCATGGTTGAATATATTGGCTTAGATATCTAGTAAGATTTTCTCATTCATTGTGCATGTCACCCGTAGAGGATGAGGACGTGAGCCCGCAAATGATGAGGTGATTTTTAGTTTCTCAAACATTATTTTCTATTTTTTGGCTATCTAACAAACAAAAATAAACCCTATGTGAAACATTCTATGACTGAAATAGGCAGTGCAACCGTGAGTGTCAAATTAAAGAAACATATCAAATGAGACTGTTGAAGACAACACAGCTACCTAAGTACAACATTGCATAAATATTAACTTTCATAGTGCAACTTCACCCTTTTAAAGTCGGCTAGACAATTATTGTTCACAAAAAAAAAGAAAAAAAAAATATATATATATATATATATATTTTAATTAACAATTAAATGGAATAATTTGGTCTAGAAAAATACTATTCATGGTTGAATATATTGGCTTAGATTTCTAGTAAGATTTTCTCATTCATGTATACATGCCACTCATAGAGGATGAGGATGTGAACCCGCAAATGATGAGATGATTTTTAGTTTCTCAAACATTATTTTCTATTTTTTGGTTATTTATCTAATAGACAAAATTAAACAAAGGTGTGAGATGCTCAAAAAAAGGTGTGAGGTGCTCAATGAGTGATGTTTTATCTAAAATGGCTCCGTTATAATTAATAATTGGTAATGTTAGGAAACAAAAATTTTAACCTAAATGATGTGTCACTAATAAGAAATAAGTACGATAATCAACGCTTAATATAATTCAATAATCGACAACCACATAATTTAGTTTGCAAATTTGGTTTTAAAAATTTGGTCTTACTAACATTATCCATTAAGAATAAAGTCATGTAATCATAAAATTTTAAATTATTTTGTTAAATTTTTTGTGTAAAATTTAACTTATGTGAATGACGCGTTTATACCATCCATTATTAGATAGGTGACTGAATTTAAGGCCTCAATAATTGAGGTGAATATTACTCGATTGGCCTACAAATTCATTGTAAAGTGCTCACATTATTTTATTTATTTATTGGTAGTGTTGTTTAATTGATTGTCTCTTGAATGGGTTGACGATACCACCTCTGCCCCATAAAAAGTCAATTTGACTCACTTTGCCCTTTAAATTGTGTTTTTATGTTCCACTTTATCGTGTGCCCTGTCCACATAGTTAGATAATGATTAAGCTTTTAACAGTAGTTGTTAAACTTAAATTTATGGGTTATTTTAGAATTTGTTAGTTTTGAGAGTTGTTTAGACTTGGTTAGTGATTAAGCTGAATTTTGGTAACGTGAGATTTTTAGTTGTGCGTCTTTATTTTTGTCGGCTAAATTTTGTGATTTTAGACTTGTTGGTTTTGTTATCCTATTGATTATGATACTAAGTAGTGGTAGAGAAAAGAAGTTAAAACTAGAACATTATTAAAATGTTGAAGAAGAATGTCCTAACTACTCAGATAATTCACCGTTTACAATTTTGTTATCTAAATGTATTTTTCATCCTATTAGTGCGTAATGTTAAACTTTACTCACAAAAATTTTGATGAAAAAAAATTATATAAAGAACCATCTATTTATCATACGCATGTTCAACTGACAAAACAACACAAAAAGAAGGCCGGGCAGCGTACGCATGTGTAGGCACAGGCAGAGTCGGTATATATGCTGAAAACTAATCAGGGGTGGGTGACTTTTAATGGAAGTCTTTATCCTTGTCTCCCTTCCATTTTTCTGGGTGTCCTTTCCCCTCTGCCCTTTCCCTTTCACTAAACCAACGTAGCAGTGCGAACCCACCAAACACCACACCAACGCTCCAATATACATAAAACCCTAAGTTAAATCTAAAGGTTGAGATTAAGATTGAATCATATTATACGTGGATCCGACGGCTGAAACAGGCCGAGCAACCGCAATAGAGAAGTGGCCAATGGAACTTTTAATGCCAACGCAATTACAGACCCTCCTCAGTACAACATTCCACAACTAGTCTAAGCTAGTGGTGCAACTTGACAATTTTGGAAAAATGTTAAGAAGACTTTCTCAAAAGTAGAATTCTTCGGTAACTCTCCATTAAGTGAAAACTCTCTCAAAAGAAGAACTCTTTATAGACTCTCCTTCGCCTAATGTGTTTGGTACAATATTTTAAAATATTAGCATGAAAATTATGTCAAAAACATAAGATGATGGAGCCTATGAATACTCCACTTTTGAGAGAGTTTCCTTGCGTTTTTCTTTCCAAATAGTACTACTATAAATTCGACATGGAATTACTAGTGGTATTAGTGAATTACTATTGGTACTGAGACGTCGGATGCAAGGACACGATTGAGATATGGATGGATGATGAGTCCTTATATCCACAAACCTGGCTTTCACCATTAATAATGGAGATCAGAAATCAACCGCCCTCCTTCCTCTGATGAATTGAAGGACTCCGCGAGTGTATATAGTTAATAATCCTGGTAGATAGGGCATTCGCACTGCATTCCAAATTCATAACCCTAATGAAAACATGATATTCCTTAAGTGGAGGAAAGTTGCTAGGCTGACCATTGCACTTGGTGTAACTAATTAGCTATATATATATATATATGTATGTATTAGAAAGAAAGAAGAGAGCTGTAGGTTAATTTGAGCGTAGTTGACAGAAGAGAGTGAGCACACACAGGCAGCAATTGTATAAAATCATACCCTTGGGCGGTGCGTGCTCACCTCTCTCTCTGTCAGCTGCTATCTGCGCGCTCGCTGGCTTTATTTCACCACTTAATTTTGGTAGTCAACGTTCAAAACCTTAATTTCTCATCAAAGCCCCTTCTCTTTCCTGCAAAGGAACGGGAAATCAAACCAGGCCAGTCCCAGGCCCCGCCTCCTTCTGCTCTCCCAATTCTCCTTCTTCCAGGTGTCTTTCCCTCCACCGTATATATATACACACACACACACACACATATATATATGAAACAGATAGCTAGATACCCTCTTACTCCCAGCTCTTATTTTTCTTGTTTGGGAAATGGAGATGTTGTATGTATATTCATATATTTATAGATGTCTGTGTTGATCAGCGTATGTATTAAAATTAAGACATAAGACATACAGGTTTTGGGTTTGTCATTGTTTTTATTATCCTGATCTTACTCAAAGGTGTCCTCCAGTTCATGATTTCGACCGACGTACCATACCATAAGTGGCTCACTGTACTTCACAATCACAAAGGAATGAATTACAAGATAAGTTATTTTAATGTATTTATTTTCCTGTTTTAATAAATTTTTATTGAATTTAAAATTATATAGAATGACTATAGTTTTAACGTTGGTTGACGGTGTTCTCCGGAGTTTGAAGTGCGCCTTTTGATAGTTCTGTCCTAGACAGTCAAATAGTTTGAAGATGATGATTTGGGGGTTAGGATTCGGATTAGGAGTTTCTGTTTTTTTTCATTTATACTCTTTTTTCTTAAGGGAATTGTTATTAGTACTCCAAATTTCTCATTTTACCATCCAAATTTTCTATATTTAGGAAAAAAAAAATACAATTGTGAAGAGTGTAGAATGAGATTTTTAGAGTGCTAATAATACTTCCCTTTCCTAATTGTCTTTCTCTTTAAATATAAAATTAATATAGAAAAAGAAAGACACGCTTCAAATCGATCTCTTCAAACTATTTGACGGTCGAGGATGGGGGCCTAGTTGCAGTGGCACTAGAGCCAAAGAAACTCCCACCTCACCCAAGTTCGATTCCCCCCACCCCCAAGCTTAACTAATGACAAAAAAAAAAAAAAAACTATTTGACGGTCAAGGACAAAATTATCAAAGGCACGCTTCAAACTCCAGAGACCACACCGTCAACCAACATAAAACTATAGTCATTCTTTATAATTTTAAATGGCTTATTAAATTCACACCTCACAAATTATTGAATAAATCTCACATACTTAATACACCGTATATTTGTTTTTTCACTTAAAAATTATCTTAATACACCCCACATATTTTCCCATAATACCCTCACACCCCACATTCTCAATATACACCTTATATTGTGTACATATATCTCACATTTTCTATACACCCCACATTTATCAAATCTTATAACACTTATTTTTTTTTCAGGGACTGAATCTAACCATTTGAACATTTAGTTTGCCGAAAGATTTCAAATCATTTGAACGTTTAGTTTGCTGAATGATTTCAAAATGATGATTTGAAATCATCTTAGTATAGTTTGCATCGACAGATGTCTACCTTCGTTAAGTAGGGTAACATCACCAATGGCTTATTAATAAGTTTAACTTTGTGATATGCAATTTTTGTTTTGACTTTCATGAACTTCATTTTTGCAGTGTGGGAATTTTATTTTGATTATTGTGTGGCTGGCTTTAAGACGTATACTCATGGAAATATTTGAAATATTTGAAGCTGCACTTCCAAACGAATTTGAGATATTTGATGCTGAATCATTATAGTGATGGATATAAATGGAGGTACAAGTACAAATGGTTAGTTGTGCGATTTCACATTTTAATAGTTGAGAAGATAAATAATACGCTAAATGTGACAACCCGTCCCGATTTAACGTGTCATATGTATACAGTGTGTTAATTACCCTAAATCCTTATACAATTGTTTAAGGTTTGGACGGCTATTTTATATGTTGAATGATTAAAGGCTAAGGAATGGATCACACGTCCGATTCCATTTCCATTTCCTTTCCGTGAAGTGCTCCACTACATCCCTCAATAATACCTTCACTCATCGTCATTCCCTCACACGAACCTGAAACTCTCTCTCTCTCTCTCTCTCTAACTCTCCCTCTCGAACCGTAAGCAACACACACACACAAAAACTCAATCAAACTTGCACGAACGTTGGATCTAAGACCACCATCGTGATCCTGAGAACTTCACGAACACGGGGATACCAAATTCAGGTGAGTTTCGTTTCGAAAAACTCTAGTTTCAAAGGTCCCGTGTTTATGTACTGTTCATAAACTTTATTATGGCTATGTTTTAGGCTAAACAAAGATCACAGTGAGTCTTAGAAGGTCCCAAGGATGCTCGGAGTGTAACGTTGGAAGTGTTTGGACGTAAGAACGCAGAGATAGACAAGTTCAAGTTTGACCCGTGCCTTTCGAGGTGTTTTCTGGCCAAACCACAGAGAATTAGACGTCGTGCGAGGTACCATTCTCTTCGTCTCTTCGAGAACTACAACTTTCGTTTTTGTTTCATCCAATTTCGTTGAGTATTGAAGAAGTTATGACGTTTTGAAAAATACCCAGTTTCCGGCGAACCAGTCCGGCGAGCCGAGGAAGAAGATGCGCGTGGGGGCGCGTAGGTCCGACCTTCCTATGGCGCGTGGGGGCGCGTGAGTGGCCCAAAAATTGTTCTAAAAATTGTTACGTGTTCGTGACGTCGTGTAGATTACCGTGGTATATTCACATACCCAAATTGAGCAACGTATGAGAAAGTTATTGACGAATGTTTGTGTATGCGCGTTTAAATGATGTTTTATAATTATTTTTGTATAGGTGAAAATTATACGGACGAAGAACGTAACCAAAATAGGCGAGGGGGTTACGAACCGGCTACTTATCAGTGAGTGGGCAGTTATTTTTCAGTATATATATATACGTATACTTGACGTATTTCCCAGAAAACATATTTTAAAAGAAATACGATTTAAGTAACATGTCATGTATGCATCATATTTTAGTGTATGCATTACCATAATTATGCATATTGTCGCATGGTGCTAAGAAGGCCCAGGTGAGTTACATGTGAGTATATTATGTTGAGATACATTTAATATACGATTGAAATACTATGGAATTACGATTGATATATGATTGACATACGTATGATATACATTTGAGATACGTATAATATACATTTGAGATACGTATAATATACATTTGATATACGTATGAAATACATATGAAATACATTTGATATACGTATGAAATACATTTGATATACGTATGATATACATTTGAGATACGTATAATATACATTTGAGATACGTATAATATACATTTGAGATACGTATGAAATACATTTGAAATACGTATGAAATACATTTGAAATACGTATGAAATACATTTGATATACGTATGAAATACATTTGATATACATTTGAGATACATTTGAAATATGTATGAAATACATTTGATATACGTATGAAATACATTTGATATACGTATGAAATACATTTGATATACATTTGAAATACATTTGATATACGTATGAAATACATTTGATATACATTTGAAATACATTTGAGATACTATTGAAATACATTTGAGATACGTACGAAATACATTTGAGATACATTTGAAATACATTTGATATACGTTTGATATACGTTTGATATACATTTGAAGTACATTTGAAATACAATTGAAGTACGTATGAAATACGATTGATATACGTTTGATATACGATTGATATACGATTGGAAATACTATTGAGATACGATTGAAATACTATGGAAATACGATTGAAATATGATTGAGATATAATTGAGATATGATTGTGACATGATTGAGATATGTTTGAGATATAATTGAGATGTGATTGAGATAGAATTGAAATACGATTGAGATATTATGCTGATAACGATCATGAGATATGATTGAGATATGTTGAGTTATATGATTGAGACGTGATAGAAAGCTCATTTACTTGCACACGTATATAAGTGCTCCCGCCTAGAGAGAGGCATAGCCTTCACGTGTATGTTCACCTCCCGCACCGCATGCTCGCCTTGGATCCAAGTTAGGTGCACAGCCTGTCGTATAGACCACTTATGTGGGTTCGACTTGTAGGTGACCCGCGATTTATCGCACAGCTTCACGTGATTGTAGCACTAGAGCATACTATGATATATACGATGATGAATTGCAGACCACATGAGGTGGTATTGAATGTGTGCAGGTTAAACATATATATATACAGCCGAGGGCTGAGTTGATTGAGATGAGATGATTATGAGCTATATATACAGCCAAGGGCTGAGTTGATTATGATGAGATAATTACGAATGAGTTGATTATGATGAGTTAGCTATGAACTATATATGCAGCCGAGTGCTGAGTTTATTTAAAATGAAAGAGTATGAACTATGTTTATAGCCGAATGCTGAATTGATTATATGTTATTCCATAACTTTTACATAGAGATGATGAGCATTTAGTTATGATACTTTGGCATGACATACATTCATATTGTTCCGCATGATTTGATATATATTACGTATATGATTATATACTTTACTTCTGGGAAACTATACTTGTTTTACGGCGAGGGGTTAGTATATTCAAAAGAGAAAAGAAAGTTTTGAAGAAGAATGTTTTGCTGACCCACTCAACTTTGTTTTGCGCCCCTCCAGGTTCAAGATATTTCAAGTTATGGTGGCCACGAGGAATCCAACGGTGTTCTGACAGAATTGACAAAAGTAGGACTCACTTCGGGTGTTTCATCTTAGCAATTGTGTTTTTAAAGCTTCCGAACTGTGTAAATGGCTACGTCACTCTCACGTGACGGCCAGCATGCTCTCCTTCGGGACGGGGTGTGTCACTAAAAGTGATTTGGGGTGTATTTATAATTTTTTTTTATAAATATAATAAGGTCAAAATTATCATTGCATAATGAGGTAAATAAGTCATTTAATATTAAATTTTAATGTACGGTGCATCTCACAAATGCTAATATAAAAAGCTTTTTAAATTCAATAAAAAAATTATTAAAACGGGAAAATAAATACATTAAAATAACTTATCTTGTAATTCATTCCTTTGTGATTGTGAAGTACAGTGAGCCATCTGTGGTACGATACGTCGGTCGAAATCATGAACTGGAGGACACCTTTCTTCAAGGTACGCCTTACTGTTCAAATTTTCATGGAAATTCCCGCAATTATCCTTTTCTTTATTAAGTATTTTATGAAAACCCTCCGTATCCCTCTTCTATTTTCGTGGAAATTCCCGCAAATTTCTTTTATTTATTTTTATGAAAACCCTCTTCGTCTTCCTCCTCCTCTTTTTCTGCTTCTTCATGCAAGTATATTTCCAGGTTCATGTCGTATAAAAACTGTAAATTATTATATAGGTATAAATTGAGCTCTTCTTCCCAAATCGGCTGATAAAAGGAAATCTAAACCATCTGGACATATTTTACTCTTTTCCAATCTGGCCAGATCTCAGCTTTTTGTGTCATAAGTGAGATTCTTAACTCAAAATACCTTTTCAGAAAAAAAAGAAGAAGAAAGGTTTTCTGTTATTCAAGTATGTATAATTTTGTTTTATATTGTTCTTTTCTTCTGTTTAATTTACTTATCGTTCCCTTTTAATTAATTATATTTGGTACTAGGAAGTACAAGTGAAGTACTTGTTGATGTTTTGGCGTCAGTGAGTGGCAGCAGATTCTGCTTCCATTATATTGCCGCAGGTTTAATCATCAAGGTACGTATCAATTGTAATCTCCTTGATGTACTTCAGTTTATCAATTTCTTTTCTGTTTCGTACTGTTTTTACATATGTTTAAATTTTTAATCTGGATTTTTTTTTTCTTGGGGAAGAAATACTGATTATCTTCATGGTTTTGGGTTAGTTAAATATGATCGCGGAATGGGTTAGGTCAATTACCAGTTGATGATAATGAACTGGTTTGAAGAACATTACATAGCTAATCCGTTTTCCATGTGAGTTTTAAGTTTTTATCAGATTAATGATTACAGTTGACCTATTCCAAGGGCTGATAGGATACTAGAAATGGTTATCCAAATTGGAGTGTATAAGTAAATTGTAGTAGCTAAAGGGTCCCTTATTAGATGTTTGACACTTTGACGTCAGATTAGAAGATTACTTCTTGTGGTTGTTGTTGTTAATTGGTTAGAAACTTATCTTGTAAGTCTGAAGTCTAAATGTATACCAGACTAATTGAGACTAACTGTTGAGAGCAGGTTGTTATTGAAAAATATATGGTTGTTGATTATTTCGATCACAGTGTTTATGTAACATACGATTGAAGGTATGAACGAGTTTCATATTAAGGCCAATTCTAGGTTTGAGCACAAAAGAACTATTTAATAAACTTTGGAACAAATCGTAGGTAATATATGATGAAAGATTTATATTCCTGATTAATATTTTTATATTTGAGTCCAAAAAATGTGGTTGGTTTGAGTGTCTGTTTTTCTCTTCCATTGCACATTGTTAAGGTGGAGTCTATGCCTTGGAATAGAAAACATTCGAGTCAAACCCATATTTCAGTTTTAACAATTAAGGTATGTGCATTAGAAGAGAAAACATTAAAGTCAAAACTCTGAATGTGATTTTTAACAATTTTGGTATGTGTATTAGAGATGGTTGGGGTCAAAACTCATCTTATTTTCCTTGGTCGAATGGCATTTTTTATTGTTGGCATGGGATCCACCTTAAGACTCCAAATTAGAGTCACATATTAGCTGAAAACTTCCAATTAAGTATCTAGTGAATTGGAGATGTTTTGATTCATATCTAGACTCAAATATGAGATTGGAGTCCAAAATTTTCTAGTGCATTGGAGATGGTCCAAGTCTCCTGAACATTGGCGAGTGCTTGCCTCTCATTTTTAGACTCAAATATAACATTATTTGAGTCTAAATTTTCCGGTGCATTGGAGATGACCTAACATTTTGGCTTTGTTACATAATATTTGGCAAAGTGATATTCTAAACTACTTTAATCTACCATGACGGGGATTCGTACTTACGTGCAATGGGGGATTCATGATTAGGTACAATGTGGTGGGTATGTTGTCCTAGCCAATTGGCCTAACTCACATCTTCTATTTGGGCATAACTAGATAGCTTAATTAATTATCTTTAGTCCAAATAAATGGCTTGAATATGCCTTTGGAAAATCCTTTTGATTGAATTCCCAAGTTCGAGCTTTTTTACCTTGTTTATCAAAATTTTCAAGAGTAATTTATGCACGAGTTAAAATATTGTGTGTGTGTGTTTTTTTTTTTTTTTTCTTTATGTCTTTAGAATTACTGTTCTTGTATTACAATATGGACTTGTGTGTAACTCTTAATTTAAGTTCGGATTTTTTTCTGTTATGTTCTCCAGACTTAGTGACATGCAGATAGCCCTATCAGATATCTTTGTTTTAATTTGCTTCGTATTTCTATTCATCTCCGTTTTAACATGGTACTTGAGTAGGTTTGGTCTTGCTTTTCTGTAATATTTCTATCCATGCACACTGTTCTTGATTACATGTTTCTATCACTTTGTAGCGAAGGTTTGATCCTCCTTTCCTCTGGTACTTGATGGGTTTTGCTGCTTCCTAAAATCTTAGTATTGGAAGTGACATATTCCAACTTTTTTTTTTCTGTGCCAATCCGGATATCATTATATTTGTGGATTCAATTTTATTGCTAATTTCTCTTTTATTATGCGCTTGAGAGAATCTTTGCATGGCTCACTATCCTGAAGTAATTACTGTTTTTACATGTATTGGTTTTGTTTTGTGTTTTTTTTTTTTTGGGGGGGGGGGGGGGGGGGATTAGACCGATTACCAGTTGGTGATGATGAACTTTTGGTTTCTTCATCATTTCATGGCAATGAGAAGTTTATAATGAACTTGAGTCATGTAAATAGATTTATAAATCGATTACATATTAGTAAGATCATATGGCTCAACACTTGTGTTTTGAAGTTTTTAGAATATTGCATTTCCTTGCTTCTAGGTTTGAGAACCTCCCAAATGTCCTGAAATGAACAATTTTCCCAAATTGGTTCTCTAACCATTTAGTCTTGGCGGGCATAATTAAATAGCTTCATTTTTTCTGAGATTTGAAATAAATGGCTTGTATCCCTTGGTATATGCTTTTAAGTTTCCCAAGCTTGGATATTCGGTAGTCTTTACCTTGTTTAGTTCATGTTATAGTAGTTTATGCACCAGTTAGAGTAAATTTTTTTTATTCATATTACAATGTGGATTGTGTTTAATTCAGGCTTGCCTATATCTCCTAATACTAGTTTCGTTCCTATTTCTACTATCAACCTCCTATATTTTTAAATTTTAACATGGTATTTGAGTATATTTGATCTTGCGTTTTTGTTATATTTGTATCTTTGCACACTGTTTTTGGTTATATGCATACATCTCTTACTAAGACCTAATTATTTCTAATGAAGGCAGAAGGGTTGATTCTCCTTCTCTCCACTGTTTCACTTAAATCTTGCATAATTCTCAATACTTGATGGTCTTTGTTGCTTCCTAGAATCTTGGTATTTTGAAGTGGCAAAGTCCATGTTAACCGTATAGGTATTTATATGTTCGTTGCTTTATTTTTATTGCCATTTCTCTTTTATGCTGTGCCTAAGAAAGTCTTTAGTGTGGCTCATTACGCCTGAATTAATTAATTTTCTTGCGTACTTCCCTTGTGCGTGGAATACAGAAGTGAGTTTTGGCAACAACTACAACTTAAAGTGGGCTGCTATTTCATTATTGTGGTTTTGTATTCTTAGTTAATGTTCTTCCTTCTGTTCATATCACTCATTTTCGATATATTTTAATAAATTTTACATTGTTTAATCACAATCAATTGACCACATCATGAACATCTTATTGGAATTTTGAGTTTTTTTTTTTGGCCCCCCCCCGCGGGGGGGGGGGGGGGGGTATGTGCGGTTAAGCTCCTCGGATGAGTTGCATTATTTCCTACTTTTGGGTTTAATGACTAGAACATTTGATAAACTAGGACGAGAATGAAATACATAAACGATTGTCATTAATGTGTATTAAAAACTAAATTAGTTCCATATATATCCGGGCAGATACCAACATAAAACATAAGGAAGTGGATATTTCTTGTTACTTATCAAAGTTTTGATATTTCTTGTTACTTATCAAAGTTTTGTTTTATGTGCTCTAGAAACGGTCATTTTGGTAGCCGTGGTGATGAATTTGAAATAAGTACCACATCAGTGTTAGAGTCGTCATCTCGTTGTCCTTTTTGTGACCTTCTGAACTCAACATTCAGGTTTGGCACTTTTCCACCTTTCAACCTTGAACACCATGATGAAATTTTTGTTCTCAGGATGGGGTGCGACGTCCCAGTTTCCTTTCATCTCATTAATGTGTATTAAAAACTAAATTAGTTCCATATATATCCGGGCAGATACCAACATAAAACATAAAGAAGTGGATATTTCTTGTTACTTATCAAAGTTTTGATATTTCTTGTTACTTATCAAAGTTTTGTTTTATGTGCTCTAGAAACGGTCATTTTGGTAGCCGTGATGATGAATTTGAAATAAGTACCACATCAGTGTTAGAGTCGTCATCTCGCTGTCCTTTTTGTGACCTTCTGAACTCAACATTCAGGTTTGGCACTTTTCCACCTTTCAACCTTGAACACCATGATGAAATTTTTGTTCTCAGGATGGGGTGCGACGTCCCAGTTTCCTTTCATCTCTGGGCTTAGCATTCGAAACTGTTAGTGTTATTAATTTATCTGAGTTATGCAATATGGAGATAGAGAGAGGATTGAAGGATGCAAAAGGAATGAATGTTTTTCTTCTTTCTCTCGCAGAAATTGCAGAGAGGAATATATTTCTCTTAATGGAAAATTTAGCACACACACGTGCATTTCATGATGGTTTTGCCTTAGCTAGATCCACACACAACACCTTTAATCTCAACCACACATCTAACTAATTTCTAGGATCACTACACATGACTATTTTAGCCTTACATATTGGAACCTCACACTTGTCATTCTATAAGACTAAGTGCATACACAATTAACATTCAAGGCTTCTTATTTACTAATCAACTCATTACTTACACTTCTACCCTCTCCTTTAAGTTTTGAGCTGATTTCACTCCAAGTTTATCCCTGAGATAGCAGAACCGATCCTTAGCCAATGACTTTGTGAAGATATCTGCTAGTTGCTCATTTGTAGGACAGTAGACAAGATCAATGATTCCTTCTTGTAGAGCATCCTTGATGAAGTGATATCTTCGATCGATATGCTTAGTTTTCTGGTGAACTACAGGGTTCTTTGTGATAGCAATTGCAGCATTATTGTCACACTGAAGTGGAGTTGCTTCAGTTTGAAATTCACCAAAATCTTTCCAAAACAAACCTGAGCCAAATGGCTTGTGCAGTTGCCTCTAATGCACTAATATATTCTGTTTCTGCAATTGAAAGTGCAACACAATTCTGTTTAACCGAGGCCCAAGAAAAAACTCCACTACCAAAGGAGAAAGCATATCCTGAGGTACTTTTACTGTCATCCAGTGAACCACTCCAGTCACTATCGCAGTAACCAATTAGAATTGCATTTCTTCCCTTCACATACTCTAAACCATAGTCAAGTGTTCCTTTGATATATCTAAGAACTCTTTTGGCAGTTCCATAGTGTTTATTGGTGGGGTAGTGCATGAACTTTGCAAGTAAACTAGCTGCATACATTACATCAGGTCTTGTGGTTGTGAGATACTGTAGATTTCCCACAATCTTCCTATATTGTTCTTCATTTGCTGGACCACTGCCATCATCTTTGCTAAGCTTCTCAGTTGTAACCAAAGGTGTAGCAACAAATTTACACTCACTCAAGCCAAATTTATTCAACAAAGATGTAGCATACTTTCTTTGATGAATAAAAATGCTTGTGTGTGTTTGGATGACTCCCATTCCCAGATAAGAGCCTTAAATCTGTCATTTCATACTTTGTCATCATGTCTCTTTTGAATTCCTCCAACATTAGTTGATTATTCCCTGTGTACACAATATCATCTACATATAGAGACACAATCAGAATTTATGCTTCTCCTCTGGTTTTGGTATATAAAGTGGCCTCACTTTGATTCTTTTCAAATCCACATTGAGCAAAATAGGAGTCAATTTCACTATACCAAACCCTTGGTGCCTGTTTTAAGCCATATAAAGCTTTATGTAGCTTGTAAACTTTGTCTTCACTCCCATTGACCACAAAACCATCTGGCTACTCTACATAAACCTCCTCTTCGAGTCCTCCGTTCAGAAAAGCAGACTTGGTATCTAGTTGGTACAGTTTCCAACTCTTATGTGCTGCCAATGCAACTAGTGTTTGAATTGTATCAAGTCTAGCCACAGGTGAAAAGGTCTCATTATAATCAACACCTGGTTTTTGAGCATATCCCTTGGCTATCAACCTTGCTTTATTCTTCTGCACTGATCCATCAAGGTTTAGATTGGTCTTGAACACCCACTTAACCCTAATTATAGGTTTATCAGTTGACATGCCTACTAGCTCCCATGTTGCATTCTTTTCAATCATTGACAATTCATCTTTCATAGCCTTCATCCATGATTCATCTTTAGTTGCCTCATCAAACTTTTCAGGTTTCATAATGCAGATATTGCATTGAGCTAGAACATCATCCAGGTTCCTCCACCTTAATGGAGTGTGATCAAAGGCTTGAGACTTTCTCATGCTGCTACTCACATCACTTGTTGATTCATGAGAAAATAACAAGCTTGGTGACCGAGCATAGTCATGGCCTTCAGGAGTTTCCCCTGGTGTAGTACTCTTAGGCATCTCAGATAACTCATCATGATTGAGCATAGTTACATAATTCTCAGAGACATTCTTCCACTCCTAGGCTGCATTCATCAAATACATCTCTCGAGAGTATAAGCTTCTTAGTGAGAGGATCATACACTCTGTACCTCTTTTCACTGGTTGCATAACCTACAAATATGCCCTTGACACTCTTTGCATCAACTTACTTGATATGTGTACATAACACAAACAACCAAAGATTCTAAGATGTGCAATCCCTGGTTTTTAACCACTGAATGCTTCAAATGGAGTTATATCTCCGAGAGCTCTTGTAGGACATCGATTCAGTATGTAGACAATTGTGTGTACAGATTTTGCCCCCAAATAGTAAGGTAACTTTATCATGAAGCATGGCTTTTTCCATTTCAACTACATTTATGTTCTTTCTCTCTACAACTCCATTCTGTTGTGAAGTATAGGCCATAGAGAGTTGACTTTGAATACATTCGTCTTCACACAACTTGCTAAACTCACAAGATGTGAATTCACCCCTTCTGTCACTTCTCAGGCATTTTACTCTAAACCCACTTTGTAGCTCTACCATAGATTTGAATTTTCTAAAACAATTCAATGCATCTGACTTGTATCTGAGAAAATAAACCCACATCATTCTTGTGCAGTCATCTATAAAAAGCATAAAGTAATTGTTACCAGTAATGGACTTATTTTGCATAAGCCCACATAAGTCTACATGAATTAATTCTAGGGGATTGCTTGCTCTCCATGCTTGATTCTTTGGGAACCACTCTCTATGTTGTTTTCCAAGCTAACAACCTTCACAAACTTCATCAACTTCTTCTAAGTATTGAAGTCCATGCACCATTTCCTTCTGTTTGAGTTGTTTTAACCCCCTTAGATGCAGATGGCCTAGCCTTTTGTGCCACGTCCAAGTAGAGTGAGACAAACTTGTTTTCAAGGCTATATGATCATCAAGTAATAGTGCTAAAGGATATCATCTATTCCTTTTCATTTCTACTTTAATTACAAGGCATTCCAGTGAAGGAGCATAAAAAATTCAGCACATTTTACCTCCAAACAACAAATAATACCCATGCTCATCCATATGTCCCACATTCAGTAAGTTCTCCTTCAATCCAGGTAGATACATTACGTCCTTGATGTATTTTCTACCCTTACTAGTATCAATTACTAGAGTGCCCATTCCAGCTACATTCATAAGTTCACCAATTGTCATTTGTACTTTGTCTACCACATTTGTCCTTATATCAACCAGTAGCTTCTCATTTCTAGTCATATGGTTGCTGCAACCATTGTCAATATACCATTCACCATTGACAACTGATTCAGAGATAGTGTTATTGGCATAGAATAAGTTCCCTGTCACCTCTACTTGATTAGCACTATTTACCTTTTGCACTGATTTGCTTGCAGTGCACTCCCTAGCCCAGTGTCCAAACTTTTCACAATTGTAGCCTTTAGGCTTCCCCTTATATCTACATTCACTAAAGTGAAATTTAGTGCATACTCTGCACTGTGGTTTTATAATTGTTTAACCCATTGACTGTGCATTTTGTGCAGGACTAGTAGAAAATTTCTGCTGAAACTTGGGTTTTGAATCCTATTTATTGCCCTTAGAATTCCAATTCTTCTGGAACTGAGATGGACCAGATTGAGCTCCACTTCTATTTTGCCCCTTTGGACTCACTGAGAGAGATGTAAATGCCTTCCCAGTAGTATCAACAGTATGCAGATCAAACCGTTGTTCTTGGCTCTTTAAGATTGCAATTACCTCCTGCAATTCTACAGTCTCCAAACATTTTGCATTTTCTATAACCAAACAGATAGGATCATACAGTTTACTTAGACTAATCAAAACCTTTTGCACAAGTCTCTCATTAGAAAGAGATTCACCAAATGTTTTAATCTGATTAATCAATTCATTCAGCCTTGTAAGATAACCAGATAGAGATTCATCATCTCGCATCCTAGCATATTCAAAGTCTCGTCTAAGATTTTGAAGTTTTACCGATCTAACGTGATCACTACAGTGGTATTCTCCAAACAACAGATCTCATGCCATCTTAAGTTGAATTAGCGTTGGCAATTCGAGGGAAGATCTGGTCAGAGACTGCATTTTGTATAATTCCTAGAGCCTTCGCATCCTTCATGAACACATCAGTCATTTCTTCATCGACTGCATCTTCCGATGACCTGTCAGCTTCCTTCTTCTTCTTCGAGTCGAGGGTTGTAATCCCCTTCTCTACCCGATTCCATAACCCAAGAGATTTGAAAACCGTTACTATCTTAGTTCTCCAGAACTCGTAGTTCTCAACGGAGAAAATTGGAGTTCTCACCTTCGAGCTTCCAGATCCAGACATCTTTTGCCTGAATGTTGATTTCTCTTCTCAGATGATAATGGAACTCTGGCAACCTTCACCGAGCTTCGATTGAGCTTCAATTTAGCTCAGTGACTTCACATATTCATGCCCAGACTCAGTTGGTCCAACCTGGCTCTGAGGCCATGTTAGTGTTCTTGATTTATCTGAGTTATGCAATATAGAGATAGAGAGAGGATTGAAGGATGCAAAAGGAATGGATGTTTTTCTTCTTTCTCTTGCAGAAATTGCAGGGAGGAATATATTTCTCTTAATGGAAAATTTAGCACACACACATGCATTTCATGACGGTTTTGCCTTAGCTGGATCCACACACAACACATTTGATCTCAACCACACATCTAGCTAATTTTTAGGATCACTACACATGGCTATTTTAGCCTTACATATTGGAACCTCACACTTGTCATTCTATAAGACCAAGTGCATACACAATTAACATTCAAGGCTTCTTATTTACTAATCAGCTCATTACTTACAATTCTACAGAAACTGTTATCTCATGACTGGTAATGGTGTGCGGAACCTCATCGTTGTCTTGTTTTCTAGGATGTCATAATAGCTGACGTTATTGGCTGTTTTTCAATTAGAAGTTGGTACCATTTTGTGTTGGTTTCACTATATGTTTAGAATGTATATATGGGCAGTCTTAATCCCTTGTATGTTTAGTGTTTCAATCTGTTTCTCGAGTTTTCTATATTTGTTCTGACGTATGTATTAGATATAACAAGAGAGTGAGAGTGGTTATATTGTAAGAAGTTGAGTTAGTTACAATTGGGAGTTAGTTGGAAACAGAGTTAGTTAGAAGTAAAACTACCAGAGGGTATTATAGTCATTGTTGTAATATGGGTGGTAGGTATATAACCATTGTATACAGACCATTTGTGATAGTATGATTGAATATACAAGAATTCCTTTTACTTCTCTCTCTAAACTTTCCTTCTTTTCTCTGAGTGTTTCTTCTATTCTTCTTTACGATATATACACTAGTGTTAATAGTATGAACGTCCCATGTTATTTGATTTTCGTGCAGAACCTTCATGAAAGATGATGGGTCAGGGATGGTGTGGAATGTGGGGTGAAAAAGATTGCAGAAGCACAATACCAGGAATCAATCTCAACATTTCAACGTTCAAAGGAAGATTGGCGGGCGATGGAATGGCCTGATATATAATCCCAGGGACCAAAACTGTTTGGCTTGGCACTATCAAATTCCATGATCATGAGAGTTCGAACAGAACATTTCTAGTGGAAACCACCATCGAAAACTTTCCATGTTCAAATGGTCGAATGGAAAAGTGTTGGACGGGTAACACTTAAAAAAATTGTGTGTAAGAGATAGCATCACTTTATGCTCAGTCTACACGAGTACATGATGGTAGTTAATAAATTTGAATCGTAATTTAATTGTGCTACTAAATTGTTTTACTCTCTTAGTGCCTGGGTTGGTAGATTTTGCCGAACTACTCCTTTTAGGTTCTGTTTTTATCTCTGATCACTCTTGACCGTTCTGTAGGTGGGCGCTGAACGTTTTATATAATACTCGGTAGGTATCTAATTTCATGCTTAATTTGGCCGCTGGAGCTTTAATGAGTTGAAGAGGATCTACCAATTTGACAATCTACCAATTGCGGTTTTGTTATCGTATTTCCCAAAAATGTGTTTGTTGTAATGTTTTAGTTTATTTAACAATGTTTTGATAAAAAAAGTTCTGTAAAGAACCAACTATTTATCATATGCATATTCAACTGAGAAAACAACACAAAAAGAAGGCCGGGCCGGGCAGCATATGCATATTCTTGACCAGATTATCACACCAATGGTCCAACATAACCCCTAAGTTAAACATGGCTGAAACAAGCAGCGCAACAAGTGTCAAATTAGAGAAACGGATCAAATGGGACTCTTGAAGACAATGCAGCCACCTAAGTACAACATTGCATGAATAGTAAGTCTTAGTGCAATTTCACTCGTTTAAGAGTGGCTAGAGAATCATTATTCACAATAATTTTTTTTTAATTCACGATTAAATGAAATACAACCCTTAATATTATTTACAGTCTAGAAAAATACTATTCATGGTTGAATATATTGGCTTAGATTTCTAGTAAGATTTTCTCATTCGTTGTACAAGTCACTCGTAGAGGAGGATAGTGTTGACAGATATGTACACATCAGCAAAGTAATCCACATCAGCAAGCTGTTATAACAGATAGTTGGAATTGTAGAAAGATAAGGGTGACAGTTAGTTTGTTAGTATACTTGCGATTGAAGGAAAGAATGCATGTATAAATAGTGGATATCCCTCTGTATCTTGTATCAATTCATTCTCTGCAATACACCAATATTATTCAGCTTCTTTCTTTCTTCCAAAGCTCTCTGTAACATTTCTGCTTTTCTTCTTCTTCTTCTACTAGTGTTAATAGATGGGGAGCCTACAAATGAGCTGATTTTTAGTTTCTCAAACATTATTTACTACTTTGACTATCTGATTGAATAAATTAAATGAAATTAATAGACAAAATTAAACAAAGGTGTGAGGTGCTCAATGACTGTTGTTTTATCTTAAAAAGGCTTTTACTTAATTGAAGTAGAGTAGTCACTTAGTACTACAGTATAGTGGTATTCCTCTTCATTTGTAAGTGAGATGCCTTAGGTGGATCAGGATCCTCTCCTGAACTAAGGGTGAAGATCCTCCTGAGCAAGCACATCGGGCCGTTCAAATTTTATCCAACGGTTACAATTATTATAACTTTTAGAGGGTTCCCCTGTTTGTAGCCGTTGGATAAAATTTGAACGGCCCAATGGGCTTGCTCAGGAGGATCCTCACCCTTAGCTCAGGAGAGGATCCTGATCCGTCTTAGGTTTGATTCTCCCTTATAAACTGAACAATATTGCTAGACCATTGTAAGATTAAACCCGCCATCTCTCCTTTAGTGTAGATAATATCATTTGTTAAAAACAATGAAAATAGTGCCATGTAATCATAAAATTTTAAATTATTCTGTCTAATTTCTGATGTGAAATTTGACTTATATACATTACTAGAAGATAGGTGGTTGAATTTAAGGCCTTAATAGTGAATATTGTTTGGGCTACAAATTCACAGTGAAGGGCTCACATTGTTTTATTTATTTATTAATAGGCTAGTTTTTTTTTTTTTTTTTTTGAATCAATGATATTATTTACACTAAAAGGTGAGGAAGTAGCTAAGTATCACATCAGACTAGTCAGAATAATGTCAAACTCGTATTTGATGAGAATCAAACTTAAAATCTCTTACTTACAAGTGAAGAAGAATACTAAAAAACCATAGTAGTTAGTGGCCCATGAAAGTTCATTTAACTCACTTTACCCTTTAGAGCAGTTCTAGTGTGGGAACCCTCCCCCCAGGCAATACACTATGCTATCCACCCAGTGAACAATAACTATCCTTAATGAACAGTAACCGCTTTTTGTATCTCCACCGTTGCATTTCAATAGCCCTGACAATAGGTAATAAAATAATAGTATTTTTTATTTATAAAATAATACCAAGATAATTAAAAAAAGACAAAGCAAAGAGCTCTCTCTCTCTCTCTCTTCGTTGAAATGAAGACCACCAACACCGCCACCACAAACACAAAGCTTATCATCCTCCACCCCCAAGCAATCCACAAATGGCGGAAGCCACCGCCTGTGGCTCCTTTTCTTCTTCACCTTCTTCACCCTCGCATTCACCCTCACTCTCATCAACACCACCATCCCCCAAACCCTCCCCACCTCCTCCCTCACCCCAACTCCGTACTCCCCCTCCCGCCCGCCGTCCTGGACGCACTTCTTCATTACGCCATTTCATCATCAAACACCTTGTCAGCACCCCACATGTCCCCGCTGGAACTCACCTCCATATCCTCCGCCCTCACCAGCCTCTGCGCACCCAACTGCAATTTTCTCATTTTCGGCCTCACCGGTCCAGAACCTGACAGAAAAAAAATTAAAAAAGACGTCTGACGTCAGCTGATGTTAGAACCATCTCGGGTGCTTGGACCGGCACGAATCCACGAGCTTGACGCTCGGGCCTACTCGGGCTCCCTTGCCAGCCAATGTTGAACTTCCTCCCTTGGGCAATCAGGCCCTATGCTGAAGCCTGTCCATCCAGCAAAAGCTCCCGTTGGAGCTGCTCTTAAACATTGTTTTTATGTTCCACTTTATCATGTGCCGTTGTCCACATAGCTTATAACAGTAGTTGTTAAAACTTAAATGTATGGGTTATTTTAGAATTTTTTAGTTTTGAGAGTTGTGTAGACTTGGTTAGTGATTAAGCTGAATTTTGGTAACGTGAGATGTTAAGTTATTTGTGCATTTTTTTTCCTTTTGTCGGCTAAAGGTATACAATTTTGGACTTCTTGGTTTTGTTATCCTACTGGTTTTGTAATTTTATTTACACTAAGTACAGTGAAGAATTTGAAACGGGGACATAATTAATAAGTTGAAGAAGAATGTCATAACTATTCAGGTAATCCATCGCTGCCAATTTTATTATCTAATTGGACTCGGTGCTTTTTTCGTCCCATAAATGTGTAACGTTAAACTTTATTAATAAAATTTCTGATGAAGGAAAATTATGTAAGGAACCATCTATTTATCATATGCATATTCAACTGAGAAAACAACACCAAAAGAAGGCCAGGCAGCGTACACATGTTTAGGCATATGCAGAGTCGCGGGATATATGATGAAAACGTATAAGGGTGGGTGATTTTCAATGGACGTCTTTATCTTTGTCTCCCTTCCATTTTGCGGGTTGTCCTTTCCCGACCCTTCCCCACCAAACACCATACCAACGCTCCAATACATATAAAACCCTAAGTTAAATTTAAAGGCTGAGATAAAGATTGAATCATATTATACGTAGATCCGACGGCTGAAACAGGAGCAACCGCAATAGAGAAGTGGCCAATGGGACTTTTGAGGCCAACGCAATTACAAACCCTCTGAGTACAACATTCCACAACTAGTGCTAAGCCAGCGGTGCAACTTTACAGTTTTCAAAGAATAAATGTTTAGGAGATTTTCTAAAAATTCAACCCTTCGTCATCTTATATTTTTTACACAATATTATTGTTATTTTTGACACAATATTATAAAAAATTAGCACAAAATTGTGGCAAAAACATAAATTTGCAGAGTTAATGTGACAAAAACATGGGATGAAGGAACTTATGGACAGCCAACTTTTGAGTCTCCCAACATTTTTCTTCCCAAAGCACTAGTACTACTACAATTGAACACGTAATTACTAGTGGTATTAGTGAATTACTATTGGTAATTAGACGTCGAATGCACGGACACGATTCAGATGTGGATGGATGATGAGAGTCCTTATATACACCAACCTGGCTTTCACGGGTTTCACCATTAATAATGGGGATCTGAAATCAGCCCCCCTCCTTCCTCAAGTCTGATGAATTGAAAGACTCCGCTTGTGTATATAGTGAATTATCCTGTAGATAGGGCATTCGGGCAGCATTCCGAATTCAAAACCCTAATAAAAACATGATATTCCTTAAGTGAAGGAAAGCTGCTAGGCTGACCATTGCACTTGGTGTATCTAATTAGCTGTATATATATGTATATTTGTATATATTAGAAAGAAGGAAGAGAACTGTAGGTTAAGCTGAGCGTCGTTGACAGAAGAGAGTGAGCACACACAGGCAGCAATTGTATAAAATCATACCTTTGGGCGGTGCGTGCTCACCTCTCTCTCTGTCAGCTGCTATCTGCGCGCTCGCTGGCTTTTATTTCACCACTTAATTTTGATCGTCAACGTTCAAAGCCTTAATTTCTTATCAACGCCCCTTCTCTTCCCGCAAAGGAATGGGAAATTAAACCAGGCCAGTCCCAGGCCCCGCCCCTTCTGCTCTCCCAATTCTCCTTCCAGGAGTTTTCTCCCAATTCTCCTTCCTGGTGTTTAAAATCAAGACATTTGACTTGATGATAGAGGTTTTGGGTTTGTCATTGTTTTTATTATCCTGATCTTACTCAGTAACAGGTGTCCTTCAGTTTATGATTTGACCGACGTACCATACCATACGTGGCTCACTGCACTTCACAATCACAAAGGAATGAAAATACAAGATAAGTTATTTTAATGTATTTAATTTTTCCTGTTTTATTAATTTTTATTGAATTTAAAATTGTAAAGAATGACTTTAGTTTAAAGCGTGGTCTTTGGATCTACTGTCCTAGACCTTCGAATAGTTTGAAGAGGACGATTTGGGGTACTGATGTTTCTTCAAGGTACGCCTTCTAATTCTTATCTTACTGTTCAAAGTTTCATGGAAATTCCCGCAATTATTTTTATTTTTTATATATAATTATTTTATGAAAACCCTCCGAACCCCTCTTCTATTTTCATGGAAATTCCCACAATTATTCTTTTATTTATTATGAAAACCCTCTTCTTCTTCTTCTTCTTCTACTTCTTCTTCTTCATGCAAGTTTATTTCTCTGTGCATGTCATATAAAAACTGTAAATTATTACACAAATATACATTCAGCTCTTCTCCCCAAATCGGCTGATAAAGGGAAACATAAACCCTAAGGTCAGAGCTCTGCTAAATATGGACACATTTTACTCTTTTCCCATATGGCCGGATCTCAGCTTTTTTTGTGTCATAAGTGAGATTCTTAAACCAGAATTCCTTTTCAGAAAAAAAAAAAAGAAAAAAAAGAAAGGTGTCCTGTTATTGAAGCAAATATAATTTTAGTTTATATTGTTCTTTTCTTATGTTTAATTTACTGGTCGTTGCCTTTTAATTATATTTGGTAGGAAGTACAAGTGTAGTGCTTCTTGATGTCTAGGCGTCAGTGAGCGGCAGCAGATTCTGCTTCCATTAATTTGCCGCATGTTTCATCACCAAGGTACGTATCAGTTGTAATCTCCTTGATTGTACTCCAGTTATCGATTTCTTTTCTGTTTCGTACTGTTTTTACATATGTTAAAATTTTTAATCTGGATTTTGTTTTGGGGGAGAAATACTCATTGTCGTCATGCTTTCGGGGTAACTTAAAATATGTTGGTTTGGTTTGTGGAATGGGTTAGGTCAATTATTAGTTGATGATAATGAACTTGAGTCATGGAAAATGGATTTAAGAACTAATTACAAATTAGTAAGCATTACACCAGATGCCCTCTTTCCAGGACTGGTTTGAAGAACATTACATGGCTAATCCGTTTTCCATGTGAGTTTGAAGTTTTTAACAGATTATGATTACAGTTGACCTATCCCAAGGCCTGATAGGATACTAGAAATGGTTATCCAAATTGAGGTGTATGAGTAAATTGTAGTAGCTCAAGGGTCCCTTATTAGATGTTGGACACTTGTCGTCAGATTAGAAGGTTAGTTGTTGTGGTTGTTGTTGTTGTTGTTAATTGGTTAGAAACTTAGCTTGTAAGTCTGAACAATATATGTACCAGACTAATTGTGCAAAGCAGGTTGTTATTGAAAAATATGGTTGTTGATTTCAATCACATATAGTTCCTGTAACATATGATTGAAGGTTTGAACGAGGTTCATATTAAGTCCAATTCTAGGTTTGAGCACAAAATAACAAATTAATAAATTTTGGAACAAATGGTAGGTCATCTATGATGGAAGATTTATATTCCTGAGTTATATTTTTATATTTTAGTCCAAAAATAGTGGTGGGTTTGAGTGTTTGGTTTTCTCTTACTACGCATATTGTAAGATTTGGTCTATGCCTAGGAATAGAAAACTTTGGAGTCAAACCAATATTCAGTTTTAACAATTAAGGTATGTGCATTAGAAGAGAAAACCTTAAAGTCAAAACTCTCAATGTGATTTTTAACAATTTTGGTATGTGTATTAGAGATGGTTGGGGTCAAAACTCATCTTATTTTTCTTCGTCTAATAGCATTTTTTCTTGTTGGCATGGGATCCACCATAGGCTCCGATTTCGGGTCTCATATTAGCTGGAAACTTATATATAATTCCTAAGTATCTGATGAATTGGAGATGTTTTGATTCATATGTAGACTCAAATACGAGAATCAAGTCCAAATTCTCTATTGCATAGGAGATGGTCCAAGTCTTCTGTGCATTGGCGAGTCCTTGCCTCTCTTTTTAAGACTCAACTATGAGTCTAAATTTTCTGGGCATGTACGTTGTCCTAGCCAATTGGCCTAACCCGCATCTTCTGTTTGGGCATAAGTAAATGGCTTAATTAGCTTTAGTCCGAAATAACTGGCTTGAATATGCCTTGGAAAATCCATTTGATTGAACTCCCCGGTTGAGCTTCTTTACCTTGTTTATCAAAATTTTCTAGACTAATTTATGCACTAGTTAAAATATTGTGTTTTTTTCGTCTTGAGAATTAATGTTCTTATATTACAATATGGACTTGTGTGTAACTCTTAATATAGGTTCATATTTTTCTGTTATGTTCTCCAGACTTATGTTAGTAGCCCTTTCAGATATCTTTGTCTTAATTCGTTTCCAATTTTTATTCATCTCCATTTTAATATGGTATTTGAGTAGGTTTGGTCTTGCTATTCTGTAATATTTCTATCCATATTCACTGTTCTTAATTACATGTTTCTCTCACTTTGTATCGAAGGTTTGATCCTCCTTTTTTCTGGTACCTGGTGGGTTTTGTTGCTTCCTAGAATCTTAGTATTGGAAGTGACATATTCCAAGTTTTTTTTCTCTGCCAATCCTAATATCATTATATTCATGGCTTCAATTTCATTGCCAATTTCTCTTTTATTATGTGCTTGAGAGAATCTTTACTGTGGTTCATTTGTTTGAATTAATTACTGTTTTTACATATGTATTGTTCTTTAAATTTTCTTTGTGGATATTTTATTGTAAGACGAAATATCATTAGTTATGTCCATACTTCTGCATTAGTCCATAATTCTGCATTAGTCGCATATGTTGGTTTAGTTTCTACAACCGGGTTAGACCAATTACTAGTTGGTGATGGTGAACTTTTGTTCTTCTTTATTTCATGGCAATGAGAAGCTTATAATGAACTCGAGTCATGGAGATGTATTTATAAATTGAAGATGTATTTATAAATTGATTACGTATTAGTAAGCATCATATGGCTCAAGACTTGTGTTTTGAAGTTTTTAGAATGAGCACTTCACCTTGCTCAAGGCTTCTCGGTTTGAGAACCACCCAAATGTCATGAAATGAAAAATCTTCCCAAATTGGTTCTCCGACTATTTGGTCTTGGTGGGCATAATCAAATGGCTTAAATTTTCTGAGATCTGAAATAAATGGCTTGTGTCTCAGGGAATATGCTTTTAAGTTTCCCAAGCTTGGATATTCATCAGTCATTACCTTGTTTAGTTCATGGAATTGTATGAATTGTCAGAGCACTTTATGCACCAGTTAAAGTATATTTTTTTATTCATATTACAATGGGGTTTGTGTTTAATTCAGGCTTGTGTGCAACTCCTAATATTAGTTTGTTTCCTATTTTCACTCATCGATCTCCTACATATTAAATTTTAACATGGTATTTGAGTATATTTGAACTTTGCTTTTCTATTATATTTCTACCTTTGCACACTGTTTTAGCTGTATGCGTCCATCGCTTTCTAAGACCTAATTATTTCTAACGAAGTGTTGATTCTCCTTCTCTCCATTGTTTTACGTTATTCTTGCATAATTCTCAACTTGATGGTCTTTATTGCTTCCTAGAATCTTGGTATTTTGAATTAGCAAATTCCATGTTAACCATATAGGTATTTAATGTTCATTGTTTTATTTTTATTGCCATTTCTCTATTATGCTGTGCCTATGAAAGTCTTTAGGGCTGTTGATTATTCCTGAACTAATTAATTTTCTTGCGTACTTCCCTTGTGCATGGAATACAGAAGTGAGTTTTTGCTACAACTATAACTTAAAGTTGGCTGCTGCTTCTTTCGTGTGGTTCTGTATTCTTTTTTAATCTCCTTCTGTTCATTTCACTCATTTTCGTTATATTTTAATAAATTTTACATTGTTTAATCATGATCATTGACTAGACATCACAACATGAACATTTGTTTTGAAGGGGGGTGTTTAAGCTCTTCAGATGAGTTGCATTATTTACCATTGATGTTATCCAAGTTCCTGAAGAGGCTGTTGGGTTGAATGATTAGAACAGTTGATAAACTAGGACGATAATGATATACATAAACGATTGCCGTTAAGGTGTACTAAAAACTAAATTAGTTCCATAGCCGGCAGGTGCAACATAAGGAAGTGGATATTTCTTGTTACTTACCAAAGGCCTGTTTTATGTGCTCTTAAAAACGGTCAGTTTGGTTGCCTTGGTGCTGAATTTGGAAAAAAATACCGCGTCAATACCAGTGTCGTCATCTCGCTGTCCTTTTTGTGACCTTCTGAACTCAACATTCAGGTTTGGCACTTTGCCACCTTTCAACCTTGAACACCATGATGAAATTTTTGTTCTCTGGACGGGGTGGAAACGTCCCATTTCATCTTTGGGTATAGCAGTCTAAACTGTTATCTTATGACACAAATGGTAATAGTGTGCGGAACCTCATCGTCGTCTTCTTTTGATGTTATTGGCTGTTTTTTAAGAGTAAACTGCCGATTTCCTCCTGAACTTTCACTTAGCTTTCGGTTTCTCCCTAAACTTTTCAATTGGAAAATTAAGGACTCAAACTAATTTGTTGGCCTATTTCCCCCTATTGTTAGTTTTTGATTCATTCCATCCAAATTTATGTTAAATGGAAGTATGTGCACAACATGTGAGGGTAGTTCGTTTGCTTTGTTCTGTAAAAGAATCGAAATCCCTAGATTTCTAAAATGTTGACCTGTGCAGATTTGTGATTCTATAGTTTGTGTCAGCAGATCTAGTGAAGTGACGTTTTTGTCCTCAAATGGGAGTCATGTGGTGTGTACGTGATTAGAGTTAACAGTAATGTGGATGGAGTCTATGTAAAACTAATGGTAGGGGGAAATCGGGTAAAAAAAAAGTTTAATTCCTTAATTTTCTAATTAAAAAGTTGAGGGGTAAATCGAAAGTTAAAGTGAAAGTTCAAGGGGAGATTCGGTAGTTTACTCATTTTTTAATTAGAAGTTGGTATCATTTTGTGTTGGTTTCACCTTCGGTTAGAATGTATGGGCAGTCTTAATCCCTCTATGTCATGTATGTATACGTCATTTAAATATGGTCGTGTCCTATAGTTTATTGTGTCTCTCCATCTGTCTCTAGTTTTTTGTATTTGTTCTGACGTATGAACTTCCCGTTTTATTTGATTTTCGTGCAGAACTGTCACGAAATGCCCTGTGGTGTGGAATGAAGGGGTGAAAAGGTTTGCAGAAGTACAATACCAGGATTCACTGTCATCACTTCAAAGTTCAAAGGAAGATCGGCGGGCGACGGAATGCCCTGATAATCCTAGTGACGGTTTGGCTTGGCATTATCAAACTCTATGATAAAGAGTATTTGCTGCACAGAAGATTTCGAGTGGAAACCACCATCGAAACTTTCCATGTTCAAACGGTCGAACGGAAACTACAGTTGGACATGTAACACTTCGATAAATTGTGTGTAAGAGATAGCATATCACTTTATGCTCATTCTACATGAGTACATGATTGTAGTTAATAAGTATGAATCAAAAGTTAACTGTGCTACTGAATTGGTTTACTCTCTTTTTGAATGTTCGGTAGTTTGGTGCTGAACTCTTTATGGAATACGAGGTAGGTATCTAATCTGATGCTTAATTTGGCCGCTGGAGCTCTAATGAGTTGAAGAGAATACCCCAACCACTATAACAATCTACCAACTGCGGGTTTATTAACCTATTTCGTCATTGTGTTTGTTGTAATGTTAAAAGTTTAATAAAGTTTAGATAAAAAATTTCTGTGAAGAACCAACTATGCATATTCAATTGACAAAACAACACAATAAGAAAGCCAGGCCAGGCAGCAGGTGCATATTCATGACCAGATCATCACATCATGGTCCAACATAAACCCTAAGTACAACATCCGATGGCTGAAACAGGTGATGCAAATTACAGAAAGAGGTCAATTGGACTTTTGTTGAAGACTACGCAGCCATCTAAGTACAACATGAAATGTAACTGTTTTAGTGCACTTGTTTGAGTTGGTACAATTACTATTCACAATATATTTTTATAGATTTACAATTAAATGAAATTCAACGCCAAATATTATCTACAGTGTTGAGAAATACTATTTATGGTTGAATATACTTTGTTGACCTTATCATCCACGTGAATTAACGACTTAGATTTTCGCTAAGACATTCTCATTCATTCTACATGTCACTCGTAGAGGATGAGAACGTGAGCCCGCAAATGAGGTGATTTTTAGTTTCTAAAACATCATTTTCTGCCACTTAGTATTACAATCTAATGGTATTCCTCATTACTTGTAAGTAAGAGGTCTTAGGTTCCATTCATGCTAAAGGTGAATTTGAACTACATTATTGCTAGCCTATTGTTGGGCTAAGTTCACCCCATCCTCATGTATATAATATCGTTGTTTAGAAAAAAACATCACTTTCTATTTTTGGCTATTTGATTGAATAAATTAAATGAAATTAACAGATAAAATTAAACAAATGTGTGAAGACGCTCAGAAAAGCATGATTATTTTCCCTTTTGCATATCAATTGTCTAATATCATTTCCGGGAGCATTCAAATTTGGATTTGGGCCTTCATGAAGCTCATATGGTGGATATGGGCCTATTGGCAGGAGTTTAGAATTAGGCCGATGTGCCCGATAATTAGTTCGTTGTCAAAGTTCAAGGGCCTGATAAAGTCCAACAACAAACATATGCTTTGTGTAATATATATATATATATTTTTATAATTCTTTTATTATTAAAGAGAAGGGGAACGGTTTCGAACTATTACAATAATTTAGGAAGAAAGAGTTTTGAACCCTAGACGTATGGATGAGAAACTCTCAACACTCTATTCATTAGGATATTAGATTTCATGCGTATGCTTTACGTACTTAGTTCATGCATGGTTCCGTGCAATGTTTAATCTTTGTTTGTTGTTTATATTTGATTTATTTTATATGATGTTCCGAAAAGAAAAAAAAAATAGTGTGTGAGATACTAATAAGAAAGTGTGTGAAAATCAGATTCCTTTGATTTCCTCGAAAATACGAGTCCAACCGTCCATGTATTTGATAATTAGAATTCATAACCTTTTTATTTGTCTCAACATAATTACAAAATGTTTGGTTTAATTACCCCTACTACTGTTTCAGAAACGTATTTGGCCCCACAAAGTTATTCGTCTTCAAAGGACTTTTTTATGGGGTGTCTGCAGTTATTCTTCAACGGTTAATTTACATCTCAAATTATATATTTTTTCAAGGCAAATGAATTTTATGAGACTTTATGTTTTAGATTAATTAGTAACTTCCTTCATGAATACTGAAAACCGTGCGCCCATCCCTGGAGAGAAGGAAACATCACTAGTAATCTAATCTTTGGTCCCCCAAACAGAAAAAGATCATGTATCTTTTCGTTGCAAATAGCGAAGCATGCATAGACACACTGACATATGTATCTACATGACAAAATCCTGAGTCATATTTTTTTATCTTGGTTGAATAATCTTGATTCGCGATCATGATATAAAGGCAAATAGCTAGCTAAGGCATATGAAGCGATATTGGTTGTTTTTTATACCGACATTAACATTGACACATGCATGTGTAACTGATTAACGGATCGACCAAGCTCAAGATCATATGCTAGGTTTTCCAACACGGAACAATTGGGTCCTGACTTTACATCATGCTTCTGAGGGGTCTTGGCTCAGTTTGCACGGTGAAACTAGGGTTTGATACCAGTTCTTGACAGCACATAAGCAAAACTTGCCCCTTCAACAGTTTGTAACAGAAGCGTCCTCAGGAGCTCTTAACCAACCCAACAAACGTTATTCTTCCAATGCAGTACAATCAACCGGGTCCTCTAATAATAAAACAATTACGCATTAACTCGTCTACAGTTAGAGACAATTGTGTCGGCTAACTAAATATATAGATCGCCTAACAGATTAACCCAGTTTCAAGATGAGTTAAGTTGCAGATGTGGAATAATTGGGTGACCTAATATTCCACCACGCTTCCTTGGAGTCTAGGCTTAGTTGTGTGGTGAAACTAGGGTTTGGTGGCAATAGTTAAAAGCACATTGGCAGAATTTACACCTAAGACAGTTTGTAAGGCAATAGTGCCCAAGAGCTTTTAAACCAAGCTAAATGCACAGCTACTTCTTAGGACAATGACAACTCTGTCCAAGCGAATCAACCAAAAAGGCAAAACCCTAGCTAAGGGCAGGGATAAGGATGGAATATGGTGTATATATATAAAAACAGAACTACAGAAGTAGGGAAGATAACTGTTATTCCAGCTCATACGATTGCAACCGCACAACAAGGCCAATAACCTAATTAACCTCTAATACATACACTTTAAAGAGTCTATTAGTTAATCATGAATCAGTGACTTGTTTATTACACTAATCAAACAACGTTGCGTTCGTAATTAGTCGTAATCAAACAGCGCCCCCCACCTGTTTAAGTATTATAAGTCTTTGTTTAACTTGTAGTGTGCATTGACAGATATTCACCGCAGAAGGATTATCATTCAAGTGCTGACTCTTGAGTCTTCAGGTGAAGGAGAAAGATGTTCTCCCTAATTATGGAATTTAATATCAAAGAAACATAATTACAAGATGAATCTGGTGCTTATATAATACTTTTTTTTTTTTTTTGGCAAATGGTGCTTATATAATAATTTGCATGGGACGGTGTTTGATTATAGTCAATCATTCTTTATTATTGTAATTAAACTTGAATTAATAAGATACCAATTGCCACTCCAATCAGTGATGGGTGATGATGGTTTTAGTGAACAACAGAATGATGGCGGAAGTCACCGTAGAGTCACATACGATCTGTGTGACAAAAGAAAACCCTAAACCCGAAAATATTCTTTTGATACAACGGTACTGAATGTGAAGACTTGGTCACACAAAAGATCGGCTCTACATAATGAGGTGGAAAAATTATCATTTATGAGAGTTGAACTTAAAATTTTTCATTTATAAGAACAATAAATACCACTAAACTATAACATTAGTAGCTAATACGAAAATGTTGTATTTTCTAAGTGCGTTGTTCCTAATTAAACATATTTTAATTATTGCAAAACAACAAGAAAAAAAAAATGGAAATGATGTCTAATGAAAGGTGGACGAGGCAAATCTCAAAGGGTAATGGAATAGCAAACCCATGTGGCTTCCTGCCTCTTTGAATCTTGTGAATCAAAATTTGATATTCTGTACTCTGCCTTACTAAGGTAGTCCCACTAGCTGCACGACACGGCGAGGGCCTAGCGTGACCAGTGTTGCTGCACGGCACGTCGAGGGCCTAGCATGACCAGTGGCGTCCCAAATGTAGGTAAGTTTCAAGACTCTCAACCAATCAGTTTAGGGGTTTCTTTCCATTGTTTTGCACATTGAGGACAAATCAAGGCCACACAAAAGCTTAAGAACCTCCCCTTGTTTCATACATGGAGATAGCACAAATTATGGGACAGTAGATATGTCAAAGGCCTAATTGTGTTGGCCAATCAATCAATTTTAGTTCCTAAGATGAGCAGTCTTGCAACCATAATTGAATGGACCACAAACTGAAACAAGGCAAGTGTCAAGGACAACGTTATGTTATATCAACTATCAAACAACAGTACAAAACCCGATTTTAGATTAACAAAGGGGTATTAAAAGAAAAGAAAGTAATTATAGCGAAAAACAATTTCTGCATACTCATTAATTTCTTCTTTCTACACTTTTATTTATGATTTGTTCTTTAATTTACCTTGAATTTGTTCAGTCTAAATGACCAAACTAAATAGGAGTGTGCAGTGAATTAAATGCGTGCATACAAAACACCTACCTTCTTATATTTGAGTCCGACGGTGAATCCGACGGGGAAGGTAGGTTTGAGTTTTCTCAAATATATACACGTTTTAAACAATTATGCATTTGCATTGTATAGATGGCCTAAAAGATAAGATATTTTAATGAAACCTGTGTGGATACAAATTTTTTTCTCCTTGATCTTGGACAAAATTGCACCTATAAAACAACTAACACCTTTGGTTAAGGCCAAAAGTCTCACGCGCCCACGATAAATGGGAGAGGCTTTGGCCGAAGAACCTCCGATGCCAAAGTTAGAATATAGAGAGAAAAGTGTTTAGAGAGATTTTTGGGAGTTTTGCAAGAGTGTTGGAATGATCTTTTGGTGAAAATGGGAGCCTATTTATAGAGCATGACCGGCCCTCTTTGGAAGAAAGAGTGGTCGGCCCTAGGGTATTTTTTAGGGTGCAATGGACGATTTAATTGGTGATTAATGGATTAATTAGGAATTAATCTATTAATTAGCCAATTAATCTCCACTTAAATGAAATGTTATGAAGGTTATAAAATAATTACCTAAGATGAGGATGGATGAGAATATCTTTGAATTTGTTACGTATTTTGGACACTTTTGACTTGATTGACGGATGATTGTCCGCTGCTCATGCGTAGGAATTCCAGTATGCCTCAAGGGTGTTTTTGTTCTCTTTTACCCAAAAATCCACGTGTCACCTTATGATTCTTTTTTGCTCCACAACCTGCATATAAATTTCGATTTTACATGAGAGTGAACCGATATTGGGGAGAAGACAAGTCTAAGATTTGA